AGACATCCGCCAGGCTATGCCTCCAACTTCTAGGACATATGTCAGAAACCACGTTTGTCGTGAAACATGCACAACTTCCTATGAGGCATCTTCAGGCGTGGCTCCATACAGTACACATTCCTCACAGACATTCCATTCATAAGCAATTGACCATGCCCACCATGATAAAGACCTCGTTATCCTCATGAAATGGGAAGCACCTCTACTGTTTTCCCCCGATTCCTCTGATATCTTGTATCCTTTACAAGATAAAACAGGACAGATCCCGAATAATCCTGATCGCACCAACGTGGCCCAGACAAACCTGGTTTCCCTACCGCAACCAGATGATCACAGCACCACCGTGGCCCCTCCCACTCATACCTCACCTACTCACACAGGACTCAGGTCATCTCCATCACCCCAACATCCCGATCCTCCATCTCAAGGCATGGCTAATCTGTGGCTGACATCTCTGGAGGCAGGCTGTTCCACAGAGGTCTGGGATATTTTGATGGACAGCAGACGATTAATCACACAAAAACATATACTCAAACGTGGCGTCGTTTCTCCATATGGTGCGAATACAAACAACTCTCCCCTTGAATGACTACATTACCCACTGAATATACGCTGACCCTAAAAAAATCATGTCTTTCTATCAGTTCACTCCAGGTACACTTATCTGCAAGCACAGCTTTCCATTCCAGAGTAGATGGCCTCACTATATTTGCGCATCCTCTCACTAAATGCTTCCTCAAAGGTATACAGAATACTTACCCTACGGTCAGAGACCCTACCCCTATGTGGGACCTTAACTTAGTCCTCTGTACCCTCATGGGCAAACCTTTTGAGCCCCTGGCTACCTGCTCACTATTACACTTGTCCATGAAAGTTGCCTTCCTAGTCGCAATTACGTTGGCATGACGGGTTGGAGAGCTTGGTGCCTTGGTGGTAACTTCACTTATACCATATTCCTCAAGGACAAGGTAATCCTTCACCCACATCCAAATTTCATACCTAAAGTGGCTTCATCCTTCCATCTCAACCAGCCCATCTACTTACCTGTATTCTTCACGAAGCCGCACACCGACAGCAGGGAAGCATCTCTTCACACGTTGGATGTTCATAGAGCACTCGCGTTCTATATAGATAGAACAAAGACATTCAGAAAATCCACCAAACTGTTCGTTTCCACAACGGAACGATTTCAAGGACTAACCATTTCCAAACAACAACTTTCAAAATGGATATCGGAGTGCATCCGATTATGCTACCACGGACATGACCTAGAACCCCACTCTGGTCTTCGCACACACTCCACCAGGGCTATATCCACATCAACAGCTTTTCTTAAAGATATACCCATCATTGATATATGTAAAACAGCTACCTGAGCATCAGCCCACACCTTCACCAGACATTATGCCTTAGAGAAGCAATCAGCTGCTGACGCTCATTTCGGGGAATTGGAGTTATCCACCACTCAGTAAACATCTCCGAAGACCCTTCTTCCACTGAAGGGTACTGCTCCATAGTCACCTAAAAGTGGATCACCCACAGGGATATTCCTCAAACAAGAAGAGTCGGTTACTCACCTGTGCAGTAACTGATGTTCTTTGAGATGGTTGTCCCTGTGGGTGCTCCACTACACCCCCTCCTCCCATCTGCTTCGGAGTGTCTCTTTGATCCTCTGCGGCAGAGGAGGAACTGGGGAACGGTTGGCTGCACGTGCACGATACCCACTCAGAGCAGCACGAGCTGGCTGCAGCGTGTGCATGGCTAACCAGGGCACTGCTACCTTAAATCTCTGACTAGAAGCGCAGGGGCGCTCAAACACCTAAAAGTGGAGCACCCACAGGGACAACCATCTTGAAGAACATCAGTTACTGCACAGGTGAGTAACCTTCTCTTATGCTGCTGTAGGAGTAGGGCCTATATTGTGGTGTTATATTCAACTACCTGCAGTAATAAGATATTTAAACAGCAACAGAATCCATTTTTTCTTGAGAATTTTGAAGATTTGGATGTCAACAGTCTGCATAGTATCTCAGCCTTTTTTGACTGGGGAAAAATATCCATTTTTTCTCTGAGCACCTTTTCTGTAGTATTTCCAACCCCTGTCATACTCACAGGCAAAAGGTGAAGATATAATTGGGTTCTGCAAATAAATAAAAGCCAAGTGTTATGCCAAGAAATCTTTTTCTGGTGTTTTGTTTTTGCCTTCATGAACCCTCCCCCGCCCCTCCACCTTTTTATTTTTTTTTATACTCTAGGTGGCATGGCAAAGATCCAGCATCACCTTTTTCTCCTTATTTCTTCTCCCATTCCTATTTTATTTCCTTTCCATTCACTTCTCTTGTTCTCTTTGTCCTCTTCCCGCATTTTCCCACTCATTTCTTCTTAGCTTTCCTCATTTACCAGGGGTATCTAACAAAGAAAGCTCCATATTTCTTCATGGGTCCTTGGTGCCAGAAATGTCCAACTTGATCTTAAACTACTATCATAGGAATTAGAGAGGGGGAAACTCCTACTGGATCATCCAGTCCACTCTGTGTCAGTGGGGTCATCCCTACAGTACATTTTCTAGAGTTGTGACCAGACCAGTGTTAAATATTTCTGATTATTTCACAGTTGTATAGATCTCAGTGCCAGTATTTTTCCTGATATTTATTCTGAATTGCACACATCTTTCTCTGATGGGTCATCTTTGATAAGTTTAAGGGGAAAGGTGTTTTTTAATTAAGGATTTGAATAAAGAGAGAGAAGAAATTGTAAATGAAGGGGGCATCTTGAAAAGAGGAATCGAGATGAGTATTGGTGAAGGATAAAAAGGGGGCATTTTGGAGGGGCTTAAGCAAAATCAGGAAGCAGAAAACAATGAAGCAGTAGAAGGAAGTGAAAGCTGAGATGTAGGTGGGGCATGGTATTGAACATGAGGACATATATCTTGAACTTACTGTGGAAAGTGAGAGGAAGCCAATGTCAGATTGACCAGTGGGAATCAAGAGCGTGAGTACCAACCTCAGGGCAGACTGTTAAGAGCTAGTGCACAAACCCCAAATTAGCTGTGAGTTTCATACTTAGATATCACCAACCAGTTATCAAGTATAAACTCATCAGGCAGTATAACAGTCACAGACAATTCTCTTGTGTACTCCAATCTTTCTTGTCACCTAGGCAAGCTTGCCTTTGTGATAGACGGTCCCTTATATCACAAATCAGCAATATTTAGGTTACTTCCACTCCCAAAGGACCAGTCACTTACCCCAGGTCATTTGCACCTTACATCTCACACCAAAGACAACGCTTGTAGCCAATCCGATAATAAACTATACACAGATTTATTATATAGGAAAAGGAAATTAAAGAGTTATTTACAAGGTTAAAGCAGGTAAACATATATACAGACAAATGAGTTCCAATCTTAAATTTCAAAAAATAATAGACACTTTTGTAATAAGCAAGCTCTATTTGTCCTTTAGGGCTAACTCAGGCTTAGCAGCTGGGGATCCCTTGCTTATGTCTAGAAACCTTGCCACCAGAGTCCAAGGAGCAATGAGATACAGTTCCTCCTTGTTAGGGGTTTTTATTCCTGTTCCCCCTTCTGCTTCGAGCTGCAAATTTAGCTGATGTGAGGAATTCACTTGCAAGATTCTTCTTCATGGGTGGAAGGAGAGTGAACAACAAAGTCTTTTGTCCTCTTCAATGGTCTACTCAATCTGTCTGGTGTTGATGGGCCTCAGGGCCGCCCAGAGCGGGGGGGCAAGTGGGGCAATTGGCCCCGGGCCCCGCAGGGACCCCCACGAGAGTTTTTCGGGGCCACTGGAGCGGGGTCCTTCACTTGCTCCAGGGCCCCCGGAAAACTCTCGTGGGGTCCAGGCCCCCGGAGCTTCTTCCGCTCCGGGTCTTCAGCAGCAATTCGGAGGTGGGGGGGTCCTTCCACTCCGGGACCCACCGCCGAAGTGCCCTGAAGGCCCGCGGCGGGGGGTCCTCCCGCCGCCGAAGCGCCAGGTCCCCTGAATCCTCTGGGCGGCCCTGATGGGCCTTCCTTGTTGGGCAGGGCATAACACCTTCTGTTGGAGACTAGCATTTCACACTAGTTAATGTCTCTCTCCTATTTCATGATTTACGCAGTTACAGGGGCTTACAGTGCAAATGCTCAAATATTACCTTACAATAAGGGATACAGATGTTTTAAGTGAGATTAATGCAGGCAGCAACTCACAAGCATTCTATAAAGTCTAAAGTCATTCTTATAATTCTAATACCTATTTTAACAATACAAACACACAGATGAGCCAGACTGATTTCAACTATGTATTTGTCAGTATTCAATTGAGGTATGGGGACCATGGTGTTTGCTGGCCCCTGGTCTGCCAGCATCACAGCCAGAACAGAGTTTTGAAGAGGTAAATTGATATAAGGATGCTTGGGGTATTTTGCATAGATAGTGATGAGCTGAGATGTGGGATGGCCAGAAAAGTGGAAGTTGGGGTAGTCATAGCAAATGATGACCAAAGCATAATCAAGAATTTGTGTAGTAAGGATGGAAAGGAAAGAATAATTATTGGTAGCTAGAGACAATTCTCTTTAACTAATGGGTTAGTGGATTGTCCTATGTTTTAGCAGAAAACTATCCTAGATGACCTCCTGAGGTCCCTTCCAACCCTAATAGTCTATGATTCTATGATTCTATGATCTTGCATTCTGTTCACCACACTTTGTGTGAGGTTAGCTGATTATTATGGGCCATGGATTGTTATGAGTGCATCTGACCATTTTCTACATTAAAAGGTAAAATACATTTGTATTTAATGAATGTTTTTACACATATGTTGACACTTTCCAATCTGTCAGTCTTGGTCAAATTAACTTTGTATTTACAGCCTTCTGGTGGTTGAAGGGAAGAACTGCACAAATCAGGAGGTATCCGAAATCAAGACTATACTGGTAGGAGGGGACAAAGTGAACTCTGCATGGCTGCTGCCCTGGTGGATGATAACTGGAAATTGCCCAGTTTACTTCCAGCGAGTCACTCTTAACAGCTGGATGTAGGCAAAGAACAGGAATGCAAGTGACAAGCACAGGAGAGCAAACTCATTCTCCCACAAGCCCCAGGTGCTGTAGTTGATGCCTTGCTGTTGCAAGTATTCCTCTCCAGGGACCCTGCAACAAACAGACACGGGTTTGACACTGTTCAAACAAATAAAACACAACAATTGTTTTTATCTGAAATGTTACGATGATAAGTTTAGTGGTGATAAGTGAGAAAGTATTGATTAGAACCAGGCATAGCAAAGGAGGGCACTGTGCAAGTCTCTCCTTCTGTTCCTTTCCCACAGCTTTGCTAATGCAACTAGGTCCTGACCTGCAAGGTTGTCACTTCAAGTTATTCCAGTCTCTGAGCCGCATATGGCTCTGTCAATGCACTGTGATCCTGCCCTGAACCTCTCCTGGACAAAGACTGCTCCCTGGAGGCTATCTGGAGAATACCAAACTCACTAACTCTTTTAATTTGTGTAATTAGTCATAATAGCTACTAATTAGTGAAAGATGGAGTGCATAAATTTTCTGCAACATCTAGCTCTATGATAACCCCTGTAGTGAAGTACTGCAGTGCTTCATTCAGAGAGTGCTATCTTCTCTTTATTTTACAGTTGCTTGGAAGCAACTGTGGGGAAGCCTTCTGCTTGGTGGGCTGCAGTAGATAAGGCATGTTATGGAAGTGATGCATTTGCTCTTGTGGACAGCTGCCAGCCTTGACCCACCCACCTGGATGCTTCCTGAATGAAGAGATGTAGTCCATGTTCAAATGCCTAGAAGACGCCAGGGTAAGCACCCTGGCAAGCCGGGCCCGTTTGTTTACCTGCTGCGTCCACAGGTTCGGCCAATCGTGGCTCCCACTGGCTGCGGTTCGCTGCTCCAGGCCAATGGGGGCTGCGGGAAGCTGTGCGGGCTGAGGGATGTGCTGGCCGCCACTTCCTGCTGCCCTCATTGGCCTGGAGTGGCGAACCGCGGCCAGTGGGAGCCGCGATCGGCCGAACCTGCGGACGCGGCCGGTAAACAAACCGGTCCGGCCCGCCAGGGTGCTAAAGGTTGCCGATCCCTGTTCTAAATAAATGAGCTGTCCTTGTTAATGGGACATTGTACTGGTTTTTGTTGGGCCTATTGTATGCCTCTGTGTATTCTGTAATTCTACAGTAGCTGTTGCTGTTTTATCAAGTTATAAAACTCCTGTAAGGGTGTTTTATGTGTCCTGCCCAGTGAGTCCCTATAATGAGCCCTTCTAAGTACTGATGATGTGACTATGTGAGTCCCGAGGTGAGCCATTAAGTGTTTGTAAGTACTTTAACTGTAATACATATATAACATCCCGCTATGTATATGTAACATCCCTCCTGTAACATCCCGCTATGAACTTCCTGTGGGCCCACTCTGCATGAACCTCTGTGGTGTCCCATATGTGCCCTGTCAATCCCTAAGTTACATAAATGCTTAATATGATCTTGTTGTTCGCTTGCTATATGCCTCCTGTGTTGCCCTAAAATTGCCATGTGAAATGCCCCCATGTATTTCTCTGGTCTGAAAATGCCTTGTAATTCCCGGTACGTGACCTCCGTGATATCCATGTTCTTTGTTTCCTGAAAGTGCCTTTGTCTTGCATCTGTCCTGACAAATTTTGGTATGGTGGTGCAGGTTATCTGCATGAGGAACAGCCAGAACCAAATTCTAACCTAATAATTATAGTGACTCTTTGATTACCATGCCTGCTGATTTACAATAGAGAAATCTAGTGACATTTACAGATTCACCTTCCCTTGGGTGAGGGAAGAAAGAGATAACTGGAAACACTGCACTGACTATCACACTTCAGAAGGGGAAAAATATTGCACACAAGGAATCAAACAAACACTACTAGTTAGAGACATCTACCTATGCATTTTAAATAATTTTAGATTATACATATTGGGGGAAATTCAGAGAAGTACTCAAGTTTCTTGAGCACTTCTGAAAATCTCACCTGTGGTGCTGTTTATCTTTAGTGCAGCATTTAAGGTTATATGTACTGGTATGTGAAGAAATGTTGCTAAAGCATTATGTACCATTTATGCATGACACATTGTGTTAAAAGAACATTTTAAAAATGGTGAAGTTAGAGATTTTGGAAGAAGAATATTGTTATATATTGAAATGACTAACACAGCTCCTGCTAATTTGTAATATTTATTACTTGATATTCCTGTGTACTGTTCTTCCTGTTAAGAAGTTAGTTAAACATTGGCTCTTTGTATGTGTATTGACACTGCAGCTTCTCTTTCAACAGGTATCACATCATGACCTCCTATTTATGCTTCATGCCGTGTGGTATGTCAGACTCCTGTGTATCCAAAAATACTCTATAAATTGAGTGCTTGTATGTACCCCTGTGGTGAAGTGTGTCAGATATGCCAGCCTCTACCTTCCCTCAGCTCTTTTGGGTTGTTTTTGGTGGTTAGTGAACAGAGTGAGTACTTACGTGGAAGAGTTCAAATGGAAAACTGCTCCTTGGAGCTCATTGATGGTCAGGGCCTAAAATAGGAAACATATGTTTAAAAAATCTAATCTGTTAGAAAATGGCAGATGAAGAAATTATACACCAAGAACAGCCGTGCCTCCCCAGAAACATGGAATGTTCCATTTTGACAGTGGTTCCTTCTCGACCTTTTCCATACTGGGACCACCCTGTATTCAGAGATTTGGGAAATGCAGCATGACCATGATGCCCTGACACAATTTTGGCAATGGTTCTTGACCTATTCCCAGGAGCGGCGCCAGGTTTTTGGCACCCTAGGCGGGGGTCCTCCCGCGCTCCCGGTCTTCGGGCACTTCGGCGGCGGGTCCCGGAGCGAGTGAAGGACCCGCCGCAGAATTGCTGCCAAAGACCCGGAGCGTGGAAGGACCCCCCGCCGCCGAATTGCTGCAGAGGGCGCCAAAATGTCGCCCCCCCCCAAATCCTGGTGCCCTAGGCGACCGCCTAGGTCGCCTAAATGGAAGCGCCGGCCCTGCCTATTCCGTATCGTGACCACCCTCTATTCAGCAATTTAGGAAGTGCAGTGTGGCCATGATGCCTGACACCTATTCATGACCCCTGGTTGTGAACCCTTGGACTATGAGAATCAAGATAATTAATTATGGGCAAATTATCAAATGAATCTGCCCTGTAGCTTTTAAAACATAGCTCCCTCTCTTTCATCAGGCATTTCAAGGGAGAAAAGCATCTGGGATCCTTTTGTCTTTGGCTAGCACTGGAGAGACTCCATGGTGCCAGGATGTTTGGAGTGGAGTTAGGACAGGAGAGGGAAGAGGGAGGGGATGAGAGTCTCATAAAAACAAAGCCCAAAACAGCAGGAAAAATAGCAGAACATGGGGAAGAGATTCCTAAGTCTGAATGGGGAAAAAGGACAAAACATTCAGCTAAAGGCTTTTCTTCTGCGAATCTCATTGTAAACATATATGGCAATGTTTATTCCTAGCCCCAGAAGCAGGAATTTAATCAATCTTCATTGAAAAGAACATAGTGATTTGTTTTACAGCATCAATATTGGATGCTGCCAGTAGATGGTGCCGTAGTTTCTATAAGAATTATATTTAGGGCAGACTTCTTATAAACTGTGTTTTATTATAAGAACACAGTAAAGCTCATGTTCTGGCATAGCTTGTGAATGTGCATGTGTGCTTATTGTTTCCTTTACTTCTGATGAGTACCATTGTCTGTGACAAAGCACGGTACCAACTTTACAGACAGAGACAGAAATGCAGATTTACAGATGTTGTCAGTCATACAAACCCAGACAGTCAGCACTTTCTTGGTCAGACAGAGGTGGGCTTCTAGGACTTCTTCAGAAGACATGTGAAGAAGACAGTCTACCAACATAGACTGGATGATATTTTTGATTAGAACATGGTAGTATCAGGTGATTCTATTCTGTCTTTGGCTAAGAGCTTGTGAACAATCCGAGACATGAGAAGTGAGATGGCAAACAGGCTTGAGGGATTTTGTACAATTGGGGGATGAAGTTCACTTTACTTTTGAACCTGCTGTTTTGCACTTTGCCAAATCTTCCCCGTAAGGGCTGTGACTCACATTCATTCCATAATGGAAGATGCTGATCCATTTGATCCAGGACAGCCAACTCAGCATGGAGTTCAGGTTTACAAGGAACCCACCAAAGACCTGTAGGAGACAGTGCAAAAAACAACAACAATGTAGAACACATTATAAACGATACCCTTGCCTTTTGTCCCCCAAAGCGCTTGGGAGTTGGTCCTCAGTACAGACATCTTGAGCCAAATAGTAGCCCTCATTCATGAAAGGGAGAATAGGGACATTTATCAAATACATGGAGTTCCTATCCTCTATATTCTGACTCAGAAAATAACAATGCTAAGGATGTTTCTCCAGTTTCTGTGTTGTTCAAAATAATCTAGTTTAAGATTACTAGTATATTTATTAGCTAAAAATTGTTTTGTAAAATATTTTTCCAGACTATTTGGCCCTAAAGTTTACTAGGACTTCCTAATACTAGTAGCTTTCATTTAAAATGATTAGCTTAGAACAGTGGCTAACGTGTGTGTTCAGTAACTACTTTTTCATAAGAAATGTCTCTAGTCGTTTTAGAATATAGCGTTTTAGGCACATCCAGTGGCTACATGTTGTTTGTATTGTGCAATGTATTACAATAAAAAATACAAAGACCATTAAAGCATGGACTGAAGCCTCTTCTAATTGTACATCCCAGTGGGGAGGATAATGTACCATTCCACTGTTACTCAGGACATGGAATACAAATATGCATATTTTTCATACAATATGTGTGAGAAGTTAAAAAGTCTGTAATGTTTTCCATTTTTAAATTGCTTTACAAATATTTAATAAACAGATTTCAAATCACCCATTTGAAATAGGTAAGGATTAACCTCATTTACAAGTGGAAAAACTGAGTCAGGGACTTTGTGACTTACTTAAGATCACAGGTACAATAATGGAATGCTAAACTGCATTATACTGTTCAGTCACTAGGTGCCGCTGCATGAAAATACCTTATTTAAGCTAACCTCAGCCATACCTGGCAGAGCATTAAAAGATCTTATGATGAACACATCTGGGGTGTATAATAAGCAAGCTCTGTAGCCAGTCCATATCTGGTACAGGAATGTGACGTGGTATCAGGAGTAAACTAAGAACAGAAACAGAAGGAAAATAGCAACAATGTTGCAAACAGAAGGAACAAAGCAACAAAGGTTGCAGGATCTCATCAACATGTCACTCTTTAATGCCCCAGAGAACTTCAGCTTTGACAGACAGACTGGAAACAATATTCTGCAAGATTTCATATTGCTATCCAGCTGCACAAAGAAACTGGAAATATACAGGTATCAAATCACCTTTATGCTATGGGGAAACAGGCAGAACATATCTTTAAATCTTTTGACTTTACTGAAGACAGTCACAAAGATGACTCTGAAAGGGTTCTGGCCATGTTTGATGCATGCTTTATACCTCAGAGAAATGTGGTTTATGAAAGAGCATGTTTTCACCTGAGAATTCAAGAACGAGGGGAAAATGTTAAATGTTTTATAAGAGCGCTGCATACATTGGATTTGAGGAATGCAAAACATGAAAATACCAGAGACAGGCTGGTTATTGGGTTAATAGAAAAAAACCCTTTCACAGCAGCTATAGTTGAAGAGAGATTTAACCCTAGCCACAGCTATTGAAATAGCAAAACAGTCTGAAATGGTGAAACAGCAAAACAGAGAGAAATTTGTTTACAGTTTCTAAGCTAGTTTCAGTTTTTTCAAGTTTTTCAGACATTTGAGTGTTAAAAGTCATTCCCATAAAACCCCTGAAGCAAAGAGCAAGAACTCCCAGGCTAAGAGGGACAAATTCCAGCATAGATGCACAGGATGTGGAAAAATTCATATCCCAAGAGATGATGCGTGTCCAGACAGATGCACACCGTGTAATACATGCAGGAAATATGGACATATTGCAGGTGTTTTGTCACACCAAAGCAGTCTGGAAGTTGACTCATATTACAGACAAACAAGAGCCATTGTTTCTGGGATCTATCACTTGTGATGACAGAGTCTGCATGTAGAGTGAAATTTAATATTTATGGCAAGAATCTTGACTTTCAAACTAACTCAGGAGCTGATGACACATTGTCTCAGAAGGAACTTACAATCACTTTCAACCCCTTCTAGAGATGAAGTGACACAACTCTGACTAGCCCTGGAGGTATTTTGAACTGCATGGTCCAGTTCACCACAGAAACAACCTACATAGACAAAAACTATGTATTCAGAGTGCATGTGACAAAAGGATCAAAGACCAACAACCTTCGCAGCTGCAGTGTGGCAGCCATGATGGGCCTAGTGAAAAATAAGGAAGAACCTGATGGAGGATTTGATGATATTGTACTTTTGAAAGGACATCCAGTACAAATCAACTTGAGGTAATACTGAACCATACAGTGTACAAACACTATTAGCAGAGAAACCTTGAAAGAAACTAGCTGCAAGATTTATGCAAATTTAGATGACATCATTACCTGGTTGTAGTGGGCTATTTTTCCAGGTATATAAAAATAATGTACTTGAAAGATATAACATGTTGCAGTATTATCAAGAAATTCAAATGTACTTTTTCTCACATCAGTATTCCAGAACAACTAGTGACAGTCTAGGGTGACCAGATGTCCCGATTTTATAGGGACAGTCCCAATTTTTGGGTCTTTTTCTTATATAGCCTCCTATTACCCCCCACTCCCTGTCCCGATTTTTCTCCCTTGCTGTCTGGTCACCCTATGACAGACAATGGACCACAGTTCACTGGAGCAGAATTTAACTGAATCCAAATGAAATATGTTTTTGACCATATTACTAGTGGCCCATGTTATCCACAAGTGAATGGAAAGGCTGAGAGAGCTGTACAGATAGCCAAGAAAATCCTACAGCTGCAAGATCCGTTTCTTGTTCTTCTGAGTTACAGATCAACACCAATAGTGGCTACTGGATATAGTTCAAAATACCTCAGAATGATTGTTCCAGTTTTGGAAAAGAATGTATCTCCAAAGTGCCCGGACATGAAGAGAGTAGCCAAGTCAGATAAAAAGGCTAAAAGAGTTTATGAACACTTTTACAACAGACATCATTCAGTTAGAGAACTGCCGGGTCTACAACATGGTGACTGTGTTCGCATCAAATTGGATGGAGAAAAAGGATGGACACCTCCAGCTGTTGTAAAGAAAAAGAATCCAGCACCCAGATTATATGTGATTGAGATTGGCAATGGAGAATTCAGCAGAGACCACCAACATCTACAGTTTCTTTCCTCAGAAAGAACAATCAACAGAGCAAATGCTACAGATGGCAGATGCAGAACAACAAGAAGAATTCTCAAAAATTCCAAACCAATCACAGCCTGTCATTGAAACTAACAGACAGCTAGATGACCAAGTTATTACACATTTGGGTCATATAATTAGAAAACCAGTATGATACAGACACACTTAACAGACTGATACGTACTGAACTTCAAAGACAATGTGACAGTGTAAATATTGTAAATGGTAGGAATATAGAATTTAAAGGGGGAGATGTCATGGAATGCTAAACTGTATTATGCTGTTCAGCCACTAGGTGGCGCTGTGTACAAAATACAGTAGAACCCAACAACCAGCACACACAGGTCCAGAAGCGGGCAATCTCTCCTGTGGCCCTAGATGGCGCTGCAGCCTCACAATTTCCAATTCTCTGAATTATCTGAATTTTTGATTATCCAATCTGGCCCTGGTCCTAATGGGATCAGATAAACAGGGTTCTGCTTATTTACATAACCTCAGCCATACCTGGCAAAGTGGTAAAGGATCTTATGATGATCACATCTGGTGTGTATAAGCAAGCTGTAGTAGCCAGTTCTGGTACAGGAACATGACAGGTGCAGAGGCAGGATTAGAAGTCAGGCATTGCTGACTGCCTGTCTTGTGCTCAGAACAGACCAGACCTCTCCCCTTAGACCAAATGTACTAATAACATATTGTTTATAGCTACAGTTGCTCTGTATCTTGCTTTCTTATGTCATAAATACTCCTGGTTTTTTAAAAATGCACCTTCCCAGAGCATTCCAGTAGGGACCCAAACCAAAGCCTCAGATCTGAGCACCCCTGCAATTTTGGATATTTGAACTGAATGTTGAGGTTTAGGCCCATCTCTGATTCCAGTAGGCTCTATACATCCTGCAAGGCTGCCCTTGAGTGGATAAAAAGTTCTCACCATCATGAAGACGAAGGGCAGTGCGATTAAGACATTAGCGATGGCGAAGGTGCTGACGCTGGCGCTCACCAGGAAGGCCATGCTCACGGCTGCCAGATTTGTCAGACTGAGGGAAAGAACATACAGGAAGAAAGATCCTGCATCCTGTTTCAGACCTGTGTATGATGACAGAGAGAAAGTGACTCAGTACTGTGGGAAGGTCTGGATTCATAACAGGCATTGCCATGGAATTGCTACAGTATAAGGTGGTTCCCAGTATAGGACTCCAACTTGGCATTTTCCGGAATTAAAGGCTTCATAACAAGCACTGCAGTGGATGCTTTCAGTGCTGGATCCATAGAGTATCCTTCCAGGACAATGTTGTGAGAAATCTCCCATGACTAAATTTTGGTTTGTATTTTGGGCATGGTTATGACAAAGCTCACTGGGTCCATGAAGAATTTGCAAGTGGGGCCGTGAGTGCCAGATTTACCACTAAAGAGCTGCTAGAGAGTGCTCTCCTCAACATGTTTTTATTTACTGGAAAGCTGGGCCTGTTTTCATCCAAGTGTATATAATCATGCTAAAATTAGTTTGGCTGTGTGGGTTTGTTTAACTCTTCACATGTCTCAAATATTGAGACCATCTGATTGATTTTCCTGCACTATTACCGAAGCTCTGGGGGAACCTTAGAAGGCCACACTGCTGGAATCCTGTCGGGAACTGATACAGCATTGCTTTGTGAAAACTCAACCAACTGGAGTCAGAGCTAGTGGTATACTAGAAATAAGATGATTTTGTGTGTGGGTGTCTTACTGGGGGGAAAGAAAAAATGATGAACAGAGGCATCCTGGGAAGTTCTATACAAAGTTTGTATATAAGGAGATAATTTTTTACCTCTGATTATGAGCAATGTAATATAACTGCAAAAATTAATAACAAAGCACAATCACCACAGAAATCTGTGCAATGACATTTCAGTCTTGCCAGAGTTTGATATTACTCCCAAAGTTTTTGTGGCATTTTCCCATGGTGATTTTAGTCCTGAATCACTTCCTCGAAAAGTTGCTGAGCTAAAGGAAATTCAGTACTTACCCATCATGAAGTACGATATGCCAGAGAACATCAACAAGGGGATGATACGATTGGGAATCAGATCAGCAAACACCTTGGCCAGAAAATATGCTGAGGTCCTGTAGTATCCCCTGGAGCTCTCATGACTGGAAAAATGTATGCAATAAATAAAAACATTGAATATCAAAGTATCTACTTCATATATTTATGATATTTAACTCTATAACCACTTTAGCATTTCAGTCCTTTCCTTACTCCCTCAATTTCATCAACTTCCGTCTCCATCAGAACTTTCTTCATCTCCAAATAGATATGCCATTAAATAATTAGTAAGCACAACATCCTGAAGAAAAACTATCGCTTTCATCTTCATCTTTGATACACCTCTCTCATTTACCCTTACTTTCTGAAACATATACATTCAGCTTTATCTTCTACTATTTCTGCCTCCTGTCTCTTCCTGGTCTGTAAATCTTCCTATCACATCTAAAACATCACCCACAGACGATGCTATCCTGACTTCTCCTCTGATGAAACTCTCCTCCATGCCGCTATCTCCTCTTGTCTTACTGCTTGTAACTTCCTCCTTCAGTGGTCTTCCTTTGACCCAAATTTCAATTTGTCCAAAATGTGGTGGCCAGTCTCTTCATCCATATCTAGAAATGTGAAAACATCAGAAATCTTCTCCAGCTTCAAGCTTCCTATCTGCTTCAGAATCCAGTAATACAATTTCTCCTATTCAAGGCAGGGTTCTGTCTTTCTTTCATTGATTGCAAATGATATAGGATTATACCTTAAATTCTTAGATGAACTTGCCCAAAATACACACACATACACACACCCCCTTTTTTTTTCTTCAAAGTAATCTTTCCCTTTTCTGTAACCAGTCCTCGCTCGCCTCAAATATCCAATTCCTTTCTTTCCCCCCTCGTGGTTTCTCCAGAGTAGGATGTAGAAACTGCACCTTTCCAGTATTTAGTCTTTTCTTTCTGAAATGTGTCCATTCACTTCTCTCTGCTGTTACTCTGCCATGTCTGTAGATGCTACTTGCATGCTATACTGTGACTCACCGAACAGTGTCCTTATATTTGCATGTATACATTTCAATTGTCTATGATTGTATTTGTTTTGAAATAATACTGAGCATTTTAATGTTGGGAGCTGAGCCAGTCTTTCTCAGATCCATGATCTTCTGGCCATTTCTAAGGTTCAGCTGGACCTAAATTCTGAGACAAGACATCCTTATTTCTGAGGTGTTCCGGTGTGGAAATCTGGAAATTCTGTGGTGAGGTTCAGAAAAAGTGCGCAATTTTTTTAAATGAGTGAAACCTGAAAATGAATAATACAATCTATTCATTATTCTGGTGTCATTTTTATTTTGATGTCAAAATCAAGTCATTTCATGCTGCCCCAGATTTTTAGTTTTTAAATGCTGCTGATTTTGGTATTGAAAATGCATAACTGTTGTAAAAGCTGTTGGGGAAGCTGAAGATTTGGGTAACAGGACAGGGAACAGATGGGGCTTTTGGCACCTTGGGAAGGCATTGGAGATAATTTGGGATCTGACATCTACAAGGCATCTGAGGCTTTTGGCATTGGGAGTGGGGACGCATTGTCTCTTTCCCTTCCTTTTTTAGACAGATGTGGACATGATTTGAAATTTTGGGAGGGCTTGATTATTGGAGCACAATTTTGTGGTGGTGGGTAGATCTGCAGCAAACTCTGCAGCCACAGCCAGTTTATGCCTGTTTCCAGCATTTTGATTTGAAGGAGTTTTAGAGTCACTCACATGAAGAGTTTTCTCTCATTGATGAAGAGCTCCACTGCAGACAGATTCCCAAAGACCTGATTGATGACCAGGAAGAAGAAAGCTCCCAACCTGCAGAGAAGGGAGGAAAAGGAAAAGAGATTTATTTGGAGTTCTCTGCTGGACTTGTACACAAAGGGCAGAGAGTTCTCTCACGCTTTGTACTGCTCTCACATTACACTGCCTTGGAAGTTAGGTTTGGGAATCAGATCCTCACCAAGGTAAGTATTCAATTACAGGTGGAAAATTTTGGAGTCTGTCACTGTCCTTCCTACTGGGAATATTCTCTGATGTCTTCAGCAGATTTTGGTTCCATATAAGGTTCCCTCTCCTAACCCCTGGGTGCCCCAGGATATTATGCTCACTTGGGCTACTTGAAAGGAACTTGTCTGCATCTCTTCATTCATTCTTTAAGTGTGTCACTCCTTTCATCTATCCATCCGTCCTCCCTCATACTACCAGCTGGAAGAAGGGACTAAAGATTCTGTTCTTCCTCTCACCTGTTCTGAAAGGCTTCAGGTAGAGTGGCAGGTACTTGGTAGAAAATGAGCCCCACCAACACAGAGAAGAAAGTGCCCAAAAGGAGCTGACCAATGGATGTCTGAGGATTCCTCAGGATGTTCTTCACATTGCGATTGCTCACAACATACAGCTAAGGGAACATACATGAATACATAATTTATACATACATAAATTAAATTTCCTCCTTGAAATATCCCAGGTCAGTCCACTGGACTTGAGTTTTTTATTGAGGATTCTTTACAACCCTGGTTTGAGTCCTGATGTTCCCTTTGTTTTTTCCTCTGCTTTCTCCATGCTCAAAACTGCATGTTGCAGCTACCCGCTGTCCTAGCAAAGGAAACTAGCTGCAAGTCCCTTTCAACTGCACTCTTCACAGGAATTTCTCTTGAGTGAAATGATGCTCAACCTCACCCCGCAGACACTGAGCAAGACTGAGCCCTCCCAAGATGTGCCTGCTCTAATTGAGTGGGACTATGACCCAGACCCACACTTCATGCATGGCAAGTGCATAGCAATAGCCACAGGACAACAGCTTCAGATTGGTGTGATATGAATTCTTTGAAACCAAGTCGTGGGGCTTTCCCAGGCTCCCACTGAGGATTATGTGCAAGCTGTAGCTAGGGAGCCTGCCTTTAGTGGAGAATCATAGAATATAATCTGGAAAAGTTTAGCATCAATCTCAGTATAGAATCATAGAATCATAGAATGTCAGGGTTGGAAGGGACCTCAGAAGGTCATCTAGTCCAACCCTCTGCTCAGAGCAGGACCAATCCCACTTTCATAAAGATGGCTTCTAAACCAGACACAGGCAAATGTCAGAGAAACAGACTCTCCATTGCCTACAGCAATTGTCCTTCCACCTTTACTCTGGGACAATCCCAAACCACTTGACGCCCTAGAGCATACATATTTTACTTATGTATCTTCACGTATCTATTCTTATTTAAATATTCTTCAGTCATCTTCAGTAACAGTTCAGTGCACTATAGCAACTGTAAACTGCAGTATTCTGGATAATTACTGTAGACTACAGTAGTTTTTTTTTTTAAGGTATCTGACTTCTAATACTTAATTTTCTGATAGGCGTTTAAACTGTCCTCCTTCCCCGTAGATACGTCATTTTGGTGGGATGATATGTGTAAAGGTTAGGAATTGGGTACATTTGTGCATGCCAGAGAACATTGCCTTATTTTCAAAGACTGTAATAGCAGTAGAATGAGCTCTGAAGCTCTTGTCATTTGTTCACATATTGGCTCGCACAGAATTACATTTGCAATCAGAGAGAGACTGGGTGTTTGATTTTTCTCATGATTTAAAAAAATTAACACCATGCTCTCAGTGGTGCGTTCTTTACAACTCCCGGCTGCCTGTGCCTGAGATGGAAGTCATGGTCGTAGGTAAATGTTCACTGCCTGATTTTTGTTTGTCTTCCCCTCTTCCCCGCCCTCCCCCCACCCACTCAGTGTCCTGGGTGACTTTGTAAGATCAGTAACGTTAAACATACAATACAGAGGGCCAGATCCTTAGATGGTGTAAATCAGCGTGGTGGCCTTGACTTTAATGAAGCGATGCCAATTTACACCAGCAGAGGGCCTGATTCATGTTGTATAATGTAATTTACGTATCTCTGAAAAAGTTTATTCTGTTCCGTCCATTATATTATTTTTAAGGAAAGTTTTCAATTTACCTGCCTTAAATTGTTCCTTAATGTCACAGTTTATTTTGAATGATGGACTATAGAAATCCTTCCCAAGCATGACAGCAAAAGTAGCTGCTTCTTCACTGTACACCGCAGGCTCAAATTACTGAAGGGGACCCTTCTGAGGTGAGTAGCTGGGGATGGGCTTTCCTCCAGGAAGAGCAGGGTTAGGCTCCTCATGAAGGGAGAACTTCAACTCTGTGGCTGTGGAGGTTCCCTGGCAGTGGCACCTGTGCAAGTCTGTGGCACCAGGGGGTTAAATATGGGGGGAGACTAGTGTGGTGCACAGCCCAGCTCCACTGGGTGTCCCGGCACAGCACAGTGTAAGGAGGAGTAGATCCTGAGGCTCCACTGCTGTGTTAATCCCCTGGTTTTCATTCCCTAGAGCAGGGGAAACTGGGGCCCTGCAGAGCTGCCTCAGCCCAATGCCTCTGCAGAGTGACTCCGTGGGCTTCTTCTCCCAATGGCCTCATGGAGATACTCAGCACCCAACTTGCTAATTGGCCAGGGCACAGGATCCCTGAATCTGGTCTTATGTGGTTACAAAAAATAAGAATATTCTTGTTGCTAGAAGGATTTAGTTGGGGATTGGTCCTGCTTTGAGCAGGGGTTGGACTAGATGACCTCCTGAGGTCTCTTCCAACCATAATCTTCTATGAAGTCTTAGACACAGATGTCTCACTGGAATTGCTGCACAGTGAATAAGTCTCTTGCAGAGGACCTCGTGAACCTACTGATTGCATTTTCCTCCCTTTTCCCCTTTCCCCTTTCTCTCACCTGGTGGAAGAATGAGGTGGCATAGGTGGCTTTTGTTGGAACTGCATCGCTGAGGTGGCTCTCGAATGACTGTAGGTTTTCCAACTCTTCCTGCAGCTGCTCATAGTAGCGGGACTTGTGGTAGTACATGGGCAGTGGATTCTTGTCACTACAAGAGCTTCTATGAGAATCGGAATCTCTCACTGAGGCTGCAAACCAAATGGGACAGCCCTAGGTCAAAACTTTCCATTCCTGCTTCAACTTTGCTTTTGAAGGATTTTGAAAGTGTTAGCCAACTCCCAGAAAAGCGACAAAGATTGCTAATAATCACAGCAGCATTTTTATGGTCATCGCTGCTAGTAACTTTCTAGTCATCATTTGCATACCCTTAAACACAACTGAAAAGCAAAGAGAACCACAGCAATCTTCATATGAATTAGATGATGCCTTAGCAGGTCTGCTTGCTAAAGGGAAAATATAGCATAAAAATGTTATGCTGAGACTGCATCTGTATGTGCGTAACACTGGCAAATGACTGAGGTAGAAGGGAATTAGGACCATGTGTGAACAAGAATTATTTTGAGGAGAATCCAGTGTGTTGTGTTCAGACTCTGAGCTAAATGCTGGAACAGGCACTGAAGAAGTTTGGCTACCTCTATTTTACAATTCCTATATATTTTTTTGGTGAAGTGGATTTGCAAGACATTGTCCTAGCTGCTGCCTCACCACCACCTCTTTCTTTCTCAGCCAATGTAATTTTACAGCACTCACCTAACTCTGGACTAGGCTGGGACTGCATGATCTCTCCACCAATGACATCCAGGAAGAAGTCCAAAGGATTGTTAAATGCTTCACACTGGTAACCTGAAATACGTCATATCACAAGAGAAAATCAAAGCTAACCCCACACCCAACTAGCAATGTGAGAAAATTACAAAGTCTCTGTGCTAAATATCATCCAAAATACTATATCCAGTTTCAGGACATTTTGTGGCACAGAAGTTTTCCTTTTTGACCTTTTGGAAAAATAGACAGTTGCAATTAAAACCTGTGAAAATCTGAGTTCACACATTTTAATATGATAATTTGTCTTGATGCAATTAAAAATATTGAGATTTTCAATGAACCTATTTTCACTCAAAAATGCTTCTAATATTGAATGCAAAAAATGTGAAATTACATCAAGTAGGACTTTAAAAAAATTAAGAAGAAAATCCAAAAACCTTTCATTTCAAGGGTTTTGAATTACATCGCAAACATTTTGTACTGCCCCATTCCCAGCCTTCCCAGCGACCTAAAGAGCCATTCAGACTAACCAACCAATCTCATGTCAAACTAGTGCCTCCTCAGCAACCAATAATTACCTTAGCCAAACCAGCCTTCTCTTAAAATACATCAACCAGCCTGCCCCCTCACAGATCAGTCTTTCACAGCCAATTTCACTCCTAAATCAACTTACTAGTCAACACAACATCTCACAAAGGAAACTGAAATAAACCTCTTGTTTTTTTTCAAATGGACCTGTCTGTCTTCCTGATGCATCATGCTTCTGTACATCCTCTAATCTTGTGTGAATTGAACTCCTTTTGGGGCCCATCTACACTGCTTCTTGGATCAGTTAGAAGATGTTGCTGTGCATTGATGCCCGTCATTCCTCTTCCTCAGGATGCATGTGGCACCTCTGTAGGCAGCACTTTCTTATGTTTTCCCCATCTGCTTCCCCCACTTAATCTGCTATCTCTTAAATATACCCAGTCTCTGCTGTCTCTGTGAATTAGAGTCCTGGACAGAGTTAAATACAGCTCTTTTGCATGGGCAGTGCAAAGCACAACCATGAAGCAATGAAGTTGGCCTTTGCATACTGTGAGTTTGCTGATGCAGTTAAGATTTGAATCAAAGCAGTTTTCTGTGGTGTCCTTGAATAGTGAACTGCTTGTCTGTCTGTCCAAGGTTCTTCTAGTGCAGCCTTTTATTAGCACTAGGTTTGTGCACCTAGAAACCTTGACTGCTACTCTTAAGGACTCCGTTAAAAAAAAACAACCATGTGTAGCTGCCCTGTAGCAGTAGGAAATATAATTCTCATACTGCCACAGTCTAAACCCCTACCTATACTGTTGAAATAGCCAGTGGACTCTTCGGCTGGTCCTGCATACATTATTTCTCCCTTATTCATCAGCGTTAGATGATCAATCAGACGGAAGATGGAATAACGTGGCTGGTGAATAGAGAAAATCACAGTTCTTCCTTTCCTGGAGAGTCTGCAAAACAGAAGAAACACATGGCGAATATCACAGTCCCAGGCCAGCTAGAATTTAGGCCTTAATGGAGTGGAGCATCAGAAACAGAGAATGGCTCACTGGTGCAGCAGCTGCATGATGGAATTAGCTGTGTTGGCATCCAGTCCCGTAGTTGGCTCATCCAGGAATATCAGTGAAGGTGCAGTGATTAGTTCCACGCCAATGCTGCACCGCTTCTTCTCACCCCCTGAGACACCACGCAAGAACTCAGTGCCAATCTGATACCACAGAGAAAAGAAAGGAAGCAAAGAAGCTCAGAGAGGAGGCAGATGAGTTTAAATACAGGCCGTAGTGAGTGGGTTGATCTGAGATGGACATGAATGGTAAACATATAGTTAGGGGCGCTCCTGGTCCTTTCAGTCATCTTCCCACATTTTAACAGGGAGAGCTGTATCTTCTCATGTGTCCCCTCATTCTGAGCTCCAGAAGCCATGCTGGCTTTTCCTTATCATATCATGTTCACTAGATGTATTATAATTCCATTTGTCATTATTTCAAACAATTCACTTGGTATTGAAATAATCCTTACTGGTCTGTATTTCCCAGGATCAGGATCACCCTAGCCAGGGGCCAAACTGGAAACAAAGAAGGTGTGGTTCTCATACAAGATCTGCCCATAAACCAAAGAGCCCACCTCTAAGCTCTGTGAGCCTAACAAGAGCATAGCATTGCTCTCTTACCGGACCTGCCCCACTCCCCTCTCATCTCCATGTCTCCTTCCCCTTAGGGGGAGGGAGGAAGAGAGAGAAATGGCAGAAGAGCCCTGCATCTCCAATGTGTAACCTACTCTAGGAGATTGTGGGACTTTGTCCCTCTCTAATGGCTGGCCCATATGAAACATTTGAACCTGCTTCCAGCTGACAGACTCAGTGCTTTAGCTCAGGCGGTAAAACCTCATGGTTTCAGCACTGAAAGCCCCAGATTGAAACCCTGCTGTTGGCCTAAGCAGGGTTGGATGTGCAAAAGCAAACACCTATGTGTGCTCTGTTCACCCTGTGCATGCAGAGGATAGAATCTATATGTGCAACTCAAATCACACACCTCTGTCACTGTTAGTGTGCGAAAAGGGTCCTATCAGGTGCTGGTGCACACACATAAGGAAGCTACTGCTTGAAATGAGGGGTGTTGTAGCCATGTGGGTACGTGTGCAACCTCTACCTTGTTTTAATAAAAAGATAGTACAGTAACCTTGGTGTCAGCACACTCCTGTAGCCCCAGCTCCTGTATCACTGCATTGACCTTCAGCTGCTTTTCTGCTTCACTGTTCCGGCTCTGTGGGAGGCGCAAGCTGGCAGAGAACTGAAGGTTCTCACGGACAGTGAGTGTTCCCATCAGAATATCCTCCTGTGGCAGCACAAAACAATGGAAAACACTTGCTTTAAGAAGGAAAATCAGCCAGTGCTTTGAGAGAAAAGACCTCCACAGTGGGTCCTAGTACCATCAACACTGTTCTAATAATGTGAAGTCCTTACAGACAGACTGTACCCAAAGGGGAGTCCCGGCGAGAGGAATATAGAGGTCTAATGGCTTCCATAGAGTTCTCAATGGGAGAAGGAGACAGAGACTTGTAGTCTCTTAAGGAAAAGACAATGCTCCAAATGGAGAAAATGCCTATGATGACAGAGTCATGTTATGGCTGAGTGAAGTGATGTTTCAGGATCCTAAATGGCTACTCTGCTGTAGCCATAAGGAATACACATCATGAGTCCTTGCCACTGCATGTCCTGGGCATTTCAGGCTCAGCATACTATTCTAGTGAAAAATCAGATAGGCCTGTGCACAAACTGGCACCATGGATTCTGCCCTGACTCACCTGTACTATGTAGGCAGAGCATAGGTGAAACTGTGAGTTTGCTGACTTCCCATCCATGAAGATTTGTCCACTTCTAAGCCCCTTCGGGTCCTTCCACCCCGCAAGTACATCAAGGAGTCTGAAGAAAAAAGGGTGACTTTTCACACAGTTTCTCAGTACAGGGCTTCTCCCTATATCACTCCAACCTATGGCCCCTTCCAGCCCAGTCCTGCATGCACTCTCCAAGTTCATTCAGCTCGGGATTTCCCAACACTGCTCTACTAAAGTAACTAAGCAATTGCTTTCAGGAATCAATTTTGTCCTAGAGGTATTGCTGTTTCCTGGGGTGAGAGAGAAATGAATCCCAGTATTCACACTCTGGTCTGCCAATGTACCCGAACCCAGAGCTGCAGATACCAACCCACCCTGGGGTGGGTGGGGATTAGATCTCAGCCCTTTTTTCTTCTTTGCAATAGAAAAGACATCAAAAGTGATGCAAGAGGCATTAATTTACACAGCCACACTTACGAGGTTTTGCCACTTCCGGTTGGTCCTAAAATGGCATTCATTCCAGGCTTCATAATGCCACTGTGAAAAGAAGAAGTATTATAACCTTTTTAGGAAATGATTTCACATGACAAGAAACCCAGAGTGGGCAAGCGGGGTAAGTGAAAGCAAGAGGCAGCTATTGGCTGAAAAGGGAATGAGACACAAAACAGGCTTTATGATAGAGTATGTGCTATTTGTGAAAAGTAAACTCCAGGATCGGCTTGGGCACAAATGGCTGCCCATGCTGTGTGATGTGAACTGAGCTGTTCTCAGAGCCGGTACAGACCTCCAAAGGAATGTTTGGGTCATGGTGTGATTTGTTGTGGGGCATCTGCACATGGGCATGGAGAGCTGGAGGTGGAGTTATGAATATAATTGTACGAGGGTAATTTCCAAAGAAAAATACCCACTCAGGCCCAATCAAAATGTTGCTGCTAAGATCAGCTTCCTGGCTTGCCCTTCTGACCACATCATCTCCCGCCCCCCTTTAACTCTCTTCACAGGCTCCCCTTTCTCCACTACATCATAGAGCTCCTAATTCTTACCTTTAAGGCTGTTCACAATTTAACCCCACTTTGCCCACTTACTTTGTCTTTATAGTATTGTCAGCTGCCCTCTTTCCTCCACTGATTATGCCCACTCTCACAGCCTATTTGTTCTCTTCTCCCAAAAGCACCTTTACACTTTCTTCCATGACTCCCCTTACGTGTGAACCACCTTCCCCCAATCTAATCCATAAAGTCACTACTCCATCCTCCTTCAGATCCCTCCTTGAGATCACTCCTACTGTGATCCTACCAAACATGGGCAGGTGATACTTAGCAGGCAGGCGGGGAACTGGGATTATTGTTACCAGTATCTTCATTTAGCTCAAAACGCACCCTTTAAACATACATCTGAACCTTCAAACTATGCACACAGTTAGTGCCTGTAGATATGTGTGAACACTACTGTCACCCCAGCCCCACCGTCCCTCCATTTGTTTGTTACACCCACTTCTGGCCTCTAATCTTAAACTTAAATTGTAAGCTCTTTAAGATAGGGACTGTCTCATCTGTCTGGACAATACATAGCACAGTGGGGACCTGATCTTAGCTGGAACCCCTTTGTGCTACTAAAATATACATAATAATAAATGACAGTCATACTAAACACGTAGGTGTTGTGTGTTAGCTGGAATCTTGGGCTCCAGTTATTGTTCATAGATCTCCTATATCCCAAGCAAAGGCAGAGCTCATCTGCTGATGCTGGCAATTAAATGATTCATAATAGTGTTACTGCAGCAGATACGAGGAACCAATATGAGGGGTGTTTTCTGGGAGGCATTCCAGCTCTCATAAAGTATGCACACCAGCCTGGTCAGGGTTTCAGAGGGCATCAATTAATCCCACAGCAAAGCACACGCACTCACTGCAGAATCCGCCCTTTGATACTTCTAGACTTCGGAATCCATGGCAGTGCCAGCCTCTTATGTGCTAGTTCAGATTTAACACACTTACCACTTACTCTTGCAAGCCTGGGATTTGGCATCTGTAGCTTTGTGCCTTGAAGCCCCAGGAATAACTTGGGGTTGCTAGCTGTCTGGTCCAATGAAGCTCTGGGAGGATAGCTGAAGAAATGTGATGAGTGATGACAGAGGGAAATGATAACTACTATAGACATGAATGTCCCTTAGCAATTGATAAGTGCAGGGGTACTGGAGTCACTCCCTGATTGACAGGCCATACAGAGGGTGCATAAGGGTGTTTCGTCTTCAAATGGTTGGTGTTAGGAGGAAAGGGGGTACTGCTCTGTTGTGCCATGAAGGAAAACCTTTGTGAAATTCCCAGTCTGCCTTCCGTCCCACAAACTGGCAGTGTAATACAGCCCACCTTGTTGTTTATTATTTAAGCCCCTTGTTTTAGGCACTGTACAAACATACAACAAAGAGATGGCCCCTTCCCCAAAGAGCTAGCATGCTCTGCCTCTTGAGGGAGGAGTGCCTTGTGTTCTTCATCAATGACCCCTTCAGTCAATTAAAGATCAGCCCCGATGGGTTGATAAAGGCACCCCTTGCTCCTCAGCAGGAAGGATGAAGGGACTAGAAGATGGGGATCGATAAAAAAAGGGGAAAGAGAGATTGGGTTTCTTGGGGATCTGGATATTTCTGCAGGGGTAAAATGATGGTTCCCTCAGGATTGAGGAGTTTGTATTCCTAGGACACAGCTGAATTTCTGAGCTAGCTTTGGTTGGACCAGACACGGAGAGTCCCACCTGCTTGCACTGGCCACAGAAACATTAAAAATGTCATTTTGTTTTCAACAATAAATTGCTCATGAAACCACTGACACACAAACAGTGCTATGAATGTCACTGCCCCCATGGAAACCTGACCAGCGGTGCCTGGGGCCTGCATGGGAGGGCTGAGGGCTGGGTCTCCAGGTAAGACTGGGTTATAATAACTGGGCCAGAGGGCCTGAGCATGATCTCCCCCAAGAAGTTGAAGCTCACACAACAGCATACACATGATCTAACAAAGCCTGTTGTGAGCACTGGCTGCCTCTTCCTTTCCAAACTGAATTTAAATCACCAGTACTGATCTAGGAGGCAATGGTCGGGGTCCAAGCTGCCTCACCGATCACCTATCTTCCCCACTGACCCCTATTCGCTACTCTCAGAGATAGCAATGCTCCACAGAGGTGCTTCAATCAGCCTGCCTCAGGATAAGGCTCTCCCGTGGATGGGACACTGCAGGAGCACCTTAGTACCGGACATCAGGCAGAATCCAACCCTCTTTGATAAGACCTTCCCTGGTGATGGCATCTCCCTTGGACTATTGGAGAGATTGGAAAGGAGGAAGAAGAAAGAAAGAAAGAATAACTCTATAATTACCTAGAGAAGCAGACAGAAACCGAGTGAGGCCATGAGAATATTGCCATTTAGAGCACACTTAGTGTGAGTATTAATTTTTGTGCAGTACTTAGACATTGCTGTGATAGGAACCATAGACAACCCTGAGACAGATAACTAATATTATTATGCAATACAGTTGTGCTCTGTCAAATATGGGGTGTTCAATACTCTGATATTTAAGATTTCCTAGGTCTCTATGTCCCCAGAGCCCCCGTGATTCCTTATTTTGGCTATGCCTTTACAGGGAAGAACCATTCTTTACCTGACATCCCTGAGAATTTCCTTTTCTTCTGCTTCTTTCGAGAAAAAGGACTTGCTGATGGAGACAAAGTAACTGATGTTTTGGAAAGCCAGAGTTGGCCCAGGAACATTCAGCTGGGTAACAGCTTCCTGAGAATCAGAGAGTTCCATCCCTGGGAGGCAAAGATCAGTTCAAATTGGAGGGGAGAGGGAATGTCCAGATGTTTCCCTTTGGATTAAAAACCTCTTCAGAAAAAAACAACAACAACAAAAAACCCAGAAGATTTTGTCAGTGTCCTTGCCACCAAATCTCCGTATTGCTCCGTCTCTGTTTTCTCATGTCCTATTGTTGGGAAATCTTGCTTTTATCTGTAAAACGTGCTGCAAAATCTTAGTAGAGCCAAAGTCCTTCTCCACCAAACTGCAATATAATTGTGCAGCCAATAGTATGTTCAGCAGGGTTACAAATGCTGATATCAGACTGTAAAATACAATAGGCCAGATTCTTCCCTGATGAAACTCCACTGACTTCACTGGTCTTTATACCAAGAATGAGTTTGGCCTAATATGTGGGACATCACAAATGTATGGAACTTTGACACTAGAAAATAACAATAGAACAAAATAATTTGTGAAAGGACCAAAAAGAGGGAAGCCTCAGCAAGGAAAGGTGCACCCTGACCTTTACCTGCTGCACATCTCACTGTCTCCCTGCCTTTGTCAGTCCTGGAACTCCACACGGCTCTGCCTCAGTGTGTGACAGAAACAGTAAGAAAATGGCAAGATCTGTGAATTTTATAATGCACTGGAATTTCAGCCAGAGAGACACTGGTGAAAGAGGCCAGGTGGCTCCTTAAATGACATTTCCTTTAGTGTGCAAAGAGGTGGAAGGGGCGGGGGAGTGTCATAATCCCATTTGGACAGTAGGTGGCACTAATTACTTACAATTTTGACCTTTGCTTTTGGCATCGGGTCTGTTCCCAGCGGGCAGAGTGTATCCAAGTAAATCTACTGTGCTGTCTGCTTGGAGGCATTTTAGTCCTAGACAACTTCAGAGTGATGCAAAGTAAAGGCAGGGCCCCTTACTGTGGTGTGGCATGTGTGTGTGCAGTGTATATAGGCCATGGTGAAGGGGGTTTATATATTTGAGATTTCTGAAGGCTGAGGGGGCACAAAGAGAATCTCCTTCCACTGCTCTGCCAACATCCCCAGCAGGATGCACAGTGCCACAGCAGGCAAATACCAGCCACTGCAGTCTCCAAGTCAGCTGCTGGCACCATGTGGAACCTGATCAGGAGTCGTAGCAGCTGCTCGCCCAGCCCCTGAAGCCCTGGGTTCTCAGCAGCATCCAGAGCTGGAGAGGGAGAAATCCTAGGAAGCCTGGAGGTGAGGGGAAAGGGACTTGCCACCAGAGGTTCAAGACAAGATTGGGGACATCTAAGGTCTGTCCTGTATATTTTAACAACCCTAATGCAAATGACCGATTTTTTTGCTAATTAGCAATTAAGGGGCCAGTCCTGCTCCCTCCCTCCAAAGTGAAGATGGCCTTCTAGCAACAAAACTCAACTTGGGCTAGGCTACCTGCAGTGAGCAGAGTCCAGCCCTGTGGGGTGGTGGAGGGGAGGTGGGGCAGGCTGGAAGATCCACTGCTTACTGGATTTTCTAGTCCTTTCCCAGTAGCAGACAGGGGTGGTGAGAAGGGGAGCATGGGAGAAGGGATAGCTGGAAGGCACTGAGTAAGGCTTGGTGAGGCAGCAGCCAGGGACATTCCACCCCTTCTGCAGACCCTCAGAGATTCATCGCTCCCTCTGTAATGATCACCAGGCCTCCTGTCCCACCCCACCCCCCCCATGGCAAACCAATCACAGTAGGTTTTTCGTGGGGTCCTGATGCACATGCTCCATCCATAGGTCCTGATGACCCTAGAAGTGATGGTCAGCACCCTGGAGTAGCCTCGGTAGGACTGCTGGGCTACTCTACTAACCTCCCAGGGCTCATGAGTAGGGGCCCTCATGAACCTTTTACCATCTGCAGATGGGTGACTGAGGGCCCCAACAAGTCTTCTAATACCTGTGGGAGGGTGTGGAGAGGATGCCTGACAAGCCTCCTAAGGCTCACTGGGGCACTGATGCATGTACCCAGCTAGAGCCCTATTTCTGTGCACCCCCTAAAGTCCACAGGAGAGAATCTCCCCTCACCAAGCCCACAGGAGATCCTGTGGAAGGGAGGAAGAAGGCTTCCTGATGTTCTGCCCCCCAATCGCCTTGCCCACCTCCTTTCCCTCCCTCCCACAGACATCCTCTTTCTGTGACCCCTCTCATGGTCTTACCCAACAGAAGAGATATTCTGGGCCAAAATATATGCTTTATAACTTCAAAATCTATCCTTCCCAAAATGCTGAGGGGCCATCTATAAAGTCCAGGGGACCCACAGAAGGATCATCCTTAAAGATCAAAACCTTAGGGAAGTTCCCTTTTCTCTCTCTGAACTTCATGAATCCATGATTGCATTTTAATGAACATTCACAGAATGATTTGTCTTCCAAAGCTTGCAAGTTTAATGACTGACTCCAAATGCCATCCAACAAAGACTAGTAACATCATTACTAATGGTTCCTCATATATCAGGTGAGTAGGTCTGTGTTTTTCTCATGTTCTCTGCTTAGGCACATCCCTATTCCTTGTCAGAATGAAAGGAAATATCAGGAGCAGGTTTCCTTCCTAAATCCCTGGCTTTTGAACTGGAGGTGAATCACTGACAGGACTGCCATCCAATGGAATCTATGGTCTAGAATATGCTCAGTTATTAAAGCATAGTCCATTGTACTCATGAATAACTCCACGATTGTTTTCAGTAGAAGACAGCCTGGAACATGGTAACTTTGGGCTTATAGTAACATGCATTTCATACACTATGATCAGTCTTAGCTATGAGATCCTGGGCAGAAACACATGGAAGCATCACACCTCTTTTCTCTACAAGGTGAGCCTTTTAAAAAATGACATCTTTGGTACTGCTGTCCCAGTGTTTGCAGCTCTTTACATGTTCTGAGTGCACCTTAGTCATATCCTTTGGGATTTATGCCCAAAGTAAGAGCTTTGGTTCCTTTCCAGCCATAAGTCTGCTAAGTAACCATTGGTGTCATTCTTTTAACAGGCTGGCATGCAGTTGAAGGCATAGACAGTTGTTCAGCGCAGTGCAGGCCCCTCAGACCTTTCTTTCTTTGTTATAACAGTGATGGTAGTTTTATTTGATGGTGGCTGCTGTTCACAAACTGGGGGCTATGGTGCAGACAGGAGCACGAGAGCATTCTAGGCCACAGTGGTTCACTTTGTCCTGGCAAAGCCAAATGATAGCACACTTATCTTCGGGTTTGGTACTGCTGCCCATTACTGGATGCAACTGGGCTCCTTCCAAGCAAAATAGAGTGATATTTCTCCCCAATCCATGTGCTTCCTGTAAACCTCACTCTTTATTAATCCTAGTTTGCCTCTTCCTCTTAGAGGTAATTTGGCCTCTCCGGTTTCAGTGTTTTGTTCTTTTACAATAGCTGTGTTTGTGTCTGTCCACAAGTGAAATTACCGACTGTGCCTGCAAACAGTCGTCGTGAGCCTGATTTAGAGAGCAGATTTCCAGTTTGTGCCTGACCTCTACATGTCTAAGGGTAGTCACCATCCTCCACTCACTAAATGAGACACTGCTAGTGCCACTTAATAGCCACGCCACTTGCTTTAACCAACCAAAGTGGAAGAGAGTCAGTTATCTAGGTAGTGAGCTTCAGGGAACAAAGAAGATCATGGACACCCGCATCAGTTTGATGAGGTGGGATCTGATAGGAAAAAGGAGAAATGCTGCTGCTTTGCAGGATTTATGATTTGTAACTCTTATGGTATTTTGTTTTTAAATACACCTCTACCCTGATGTAACGCTGTCCTCGGGAGCCAAAAAATCTTACCGCGTTATAGGTGAAACCGCGTTATATTGAACTTGCTTTGATCCGCCGGAGTGCGCAGCCCCGCCCCCCTGGAGTGCTGCTTTACTGCATTATATCCGAATTCATGTTATATTGGGTCGCGTTATATCGGGGTAGAGGTGTATATATCAAGGAATTCCAGACCTTTGGATAGGCACCCTTTAGTGTGGTGTTTCTTTTAGATCAAAATCCAAATAAAGAAAACCCCAGTTCAGGGATGGGGGAAGGTGGAGCTAGCAAAGGGGGAAATGTGGGTGGTTTAAAGACCTTCTTCTAGATTCAACACAAGATTTGCAGCAATTGTAACCCTTTGCATTCAGACAGGTCTATATTTACTGCAGCTCTACATAGATTTCCTTTCCCAGTGCTATAGGAGCCTATGCATCAAATATATAAAGTGAAAGGACAATTCCAGAAAGATCTATCAGGAAATGGAAAGATCTTGTAATTTCAAGTCCTGACATAGTCTGAGATCATTTTATTCACAAGAAACCAGTGTCCTTGAAGATGACATCAAACACACTACAAGAAACATTGTGATCCTTGTACTGTTTTAATTACTCATGATTTAATCAATTATTATAGGGGAAGCAAAGAATCACGAATTCAGGACTTGGATGTAAGTGAGAAAGGAATAGAAAATACAACTCTATCTGTAGTTTTAAGTCTGCACATCCACTCTATTAATTGTTTGGGAGTTTAAACATTTTTTAAATTTTAGCTTACAGAAATGTCACCATTAAATGTAGGGTTTTGTTGTTGTTATGCTAAAATGATAGGACTCTCAACGTCTGGCTTAGTTTCATGAAATGAGTAAATGTAGAATAGAATACTGTTAGCTTGAATTGGCCAACTCCTCTTTTGGTAATGGTTTTGTTGATTGAAACTACATTTGTGTGTGGAAATGCACACCTGAGTTCTGGATCACCCCAAAACACAGTCACCCCAAGCTGTGTACTCGAATTAGCCTGGGGTGCACAATTATGGATGCACTCATTTGGAGGCTGGGTTGAGGCTACTCTGACAATTTGGCCCTCTCTATAGAACCATAGAACAGTGAGCTTCCAAAATCAGACATGCATGAAAGCAAAACTTCCATCCTTCAGGACAGGGAAGGCTCCATTGTTTTAGTATCAAAACAGGTCAGCAT